TTTTTTGTGAGTGCTGGCAGTAAATTATATTTCAAATCGTAAACTTGCTCGGACTTGCCGAGTTTTGTTTGTAAACATTTTGCTCGAGTACCCGCCTCGGTCCGCACGTGCGGATCAGCCTAGGCGCACGTGATGGTCAGCCTTGCTGCACGCGCGGTCAGTCTTGGCGCACATACGGTACGCCGGACTGCGTATATGACCTTTCTTTTGTTTGAAATTCATGGAAATGCATCAATCCCGAACACAAGCTTTTATGTGAAAGTTCAACTGTAAACATGTAGATAGTTAATGCACCTGTTAAATTTGCCATTTATAGATAACATTAGATAGATTCTATCATATACACTAGGATATATGAATGCGACACTTGTTTGACAATATTTCACTTAAAAGTGCGTTTAATTAACTGAGCCATATGTCTACTTCGTAAGAAATACATAGCAAAGTAGGTCTTAAAGTTAAAAACAATGCATTAAATTTTGCATACACTAATCATCTAATATATATTCATGCATCCTACAACATTAAATATTCTTAGAATGTACTTTTTAATATACAAAACTAATTTGATTACTGTTAGATTCTAATATTTAAATATTAAACTATAACTTAATTTATACTATAATCATAATTTAATCCTATCTCTCTCACAGCATTTTATCCTCTTTAATACGTAAAATTCATTTTCATTATTATTTTAGGAAATACTCATATCTATTCAATATTTCTAGTCACGAATTGTATATATATATAATTAAATATATATGTTGTAAATATATATATATATACAATTCGTGACTAGAAATATTGAATAGATATGAGTATTTCCTAAAATAATAATGAAAATGAATTTTACGTATTAAAGAGGATAAAATGCTGTGAGAGAGATAGGATTAAATTATGATTATAGTATAAATTAAGTTATAGTTTAATATTTAAATATTAGAATCTAACAGTAATCAAAAAATATAATATATAACCGTTAGACACTTATATAGCATAAATATTTTTCATGTTTAATAAAACAAATTAATTTTTAATCGTAAAAGCCTATGAAATCAAAAGTAGTAAATTACAGTAAGTCTACTATATATATTGAGCGACACGAATTTAAATAAATATCCTGTCAATCAATAAATATGTTAATAACGAACTTGTTTACTATTGCCAAATGTATTTACTATTATCTGTATGAACTAATCTTGGATAAAATTATAACTTAACTACTATTAAATTTATTATTATTAAAATACGACCTATACTACTATTATTAAAATCCTTAATTTATATTTATTCTTATCTTAAAATTTCCAATTTTAATTAAATATAGCCATATGTATTTAAACAAAGTACTATTGTATCAAGTAATTGCTTATTAGGTATATTTAAAAAATCATGTTGAGGATAATATCAAGATTTAACCTATTTGAAATAAGATGCTTTTCAACAATTCGTATGTATATTACTGCATTTGGTGTTTACCGTTTATAATATAATTTATAATATAATTTATATATGGAACAACATAAAGTCTAATTTAAAAAATTCGAGGAGTAGCCGCTGGACACTTTCTTTCGATAAATCCATTATTAAAGGTGGAATATGGAATAAAAACTATATAATAAAGGTTATTACACTAATATATGTTTTTATTCACTATTCTTGAGATGAAAGATGATCAATTAGTAATACACTCCAAATACGAAATATTTCTCCAAAATATTTCTGTGATAGTACTTCGTGAACCAATAACAAATCAAATTCAAGTATTAAATATAATTTTCTGGTATAGCTGAATTCGTATTGATAAATATTTTACATTGTAGTAGTGTAATAACTTTTAATTATTGTTATAGTACACTTCTTTATATATCTGATATACTTTTTCAATTCGATATTTTTAAATAATTCTATTAAGATTTGGTAATTCATATTAAGGAATGCAACAATTTTCAAATTTATATTCGGACCGGTCTAAATTTGATAATGAATGTTGAAATAGAAAAAAATACTGATTAATTATCATAGTTTTTTTTAATGGCAATATTTTATATCTGTATTTTCTTTTGTATGCATAAGAATTACTATTTCTGCTATATAAAAGAGTTTATCTAATATTGTATATAAATACGTGTAAAGTCAATATTAACGCATAGTTGAATGGTGTACCTAATTAAAATCTATTATTTTCAAATAATAGAATTAAAAACCATTAAAAATCTGTACTTGTATTGATATCACTCAATAAAAATGAATAACTTTTTCTTATTTTAAAAAGATGAAACAAAAAATTATTATTTCTTTTTCTTACGTAAAGTTTCTATTTAATAAAATTTATATGCAAAGCAATCAATTATATTTTTGCTATATTTATTATAGCAATCATTTATAATTTTTAATTAAATATTTTAAATGGTAATAGAATCGAATTTTTATAATAAATCAATAGAATATTAATTTTAATAAAATTATTTTTTATTTTGCATTTACTTTTAAATAAAAATATAAATAATTATTTAAATTTATTTTTTCTATTTTTAGGAAAAAACATTAGAAAAGACAATTAACGAAGTCTCAGTTACAACAGACATTGAAACACAATTAGCGTCAATTAGATCACCTGAAAATGCTCCTGGATTTTCCTCCTACCAACAATTCAACATACTGACAGGTATTTGATATGAAATAAATAATTATTATTATATCAAATCTATTAGTTTACAGAATTTCTTATATATTTTAGATATTTTTCTAAATTTTGTAATACAATTTGTTATCTTATTCATATTTTTTATATTGGATAAAATTTATATGTTATTTATCGAATACAATTTTTTGGATTTTTAAAGTATTCTTTTCTTTAATATTAATTTATAAAGGCTGTAGAGTTTTTATAAATTATTTATTGCAAAAATTAAATCAAATCACTTATCTGTTTACGAGACAAATTGACACTTATCTGTAATAACTTTATTTGTCTTTCTCCTTGTTTTGCATAAGACTTCAACTTATCAAATTTGAGTACGTTTTCTGAAATTATTAAACTTTATATTATAATTTTGAATTGTATCCATAATATTACTTGAATCGCTGTGACTATATCAAATATCATATCTAATTTTATTAAATAATCCGTAATCATAAAATTTGTGTTATAAATTAATAAAATTAGATTTAAACTTGCAGAAGAAATAAAAATAATAAAATAAAATAAATCATACAATGGTAATTTAATGATACTCTTAAATATTAAAGTTATTACAATTTATACTGTTCTGTTTTAAGAATAAGATAATAGTTAAGATAATAAAATATTTGAAAATAAGATTTTAATTTCTTATTAATATTTTTTTTTATTCACGAAGTACTTTTATAAATAATAAACCAAAATTAATGGAACTATTATTTTAATGGATACCATATTAAATGACTTAAATTTGTATACTTATAAAATTTATACTATATTTATAGATGATATTGAGCAACCGATCGTAAAGATTAATATATCTCACTTTGATAGGTCATTCTATATTAAGTTCAAGAAGACTTGATATATTTGTTTAGATGAAGTACTTCAATTTGCTCTTTTTCGCTTTCAATTTCTTATTTGAAATTTCTTTCTAATTTAAATATTTTAATTAAAAAAAGAAGGTATGAAGAATTTTCAAATTAATCTCGAACTGTTCATCTAATCACATTGTTTGAGATTATATTGATGTAATTTCTGGCTCGAACTACCAATGCTTCAATAGCTTAGTTTCCGTCCGCCCTAGCAGACACTCGGGAAGGAGTGAGATGCAGGGACTGTACAAGAATCGTGAGAGCTGGTTAATTATACATTTATTATACAATTTATTACACAATTTACATATGGGTGTTGTAGAATCTTCTTAAATCTTATATGAAGATACGATTTCTTGAACGGCTTCTTATATAGAATGAATCACTACACAAGATGAATTCGTCGAATTGATGAAAATTGCACAGGTAAATAATTACTGCACACTTTTTATCAGAGTGTGAGATGGTGTTGATGGTTGTTTTATGCCGGTTCTGCCGCCGGCTGACAATAATTGAATAGATAAAGTGTATTAGCGTACTCACAGCGATATCATAGTTTAAATCCGATCCACGAATGAGTTGGACACAATTACACGCGGAAAAATTAGCACGTGCGGCGTGACTCTTATACTCACAAGGATGCAATAATCTTGATCCAATCCAGCGATGAGTTATGAGCAACGCCTAAAGTGGAAGTTTTGTCCCCTCTCCTGGTGTTACCGTAGTAGGGATTGATTCGTGGTCAAACGTCTTTGCCTAGCCAATGAGAGCGTCAACATTTAGCGTACTTGACAACAATGCACAGTATTCTGGTAAGATTGTAGGCACACGTGCGACGCAGATTGTCGCGTATGTAATTTCAAAATTTAACAAAAGTTGAATGAATATTCTAAAAATAATATAACTATACATTTATTACTCATGTTTTTTGTAATTTTATATAAATTATAATTTTTAATTTTTAATTTTATTTTAAATTTGAAATATAAGTAAATAGTAAAATTAATATTATACTGTAATAATTTTATCATTCAATTTGAAGTTCACGTAATTATCTAAGAGTATAATTGTCGGGTTTTGATGTGAACTCGCAAGGGTCGTTTATTGCATTCAAAGCAATTACTACGTCTGCAGGTTAAAAGGCCATAAAGTGACTGTTTATGAGTGTCCAGATGTACGACCTTTTTTTCAAGTCTCCAGTAATCTTGGTGAGACCTTCTTAGATTTCATGTCTGTTTATTAATTCACTTTTAATAGCTTTTGAAAGTTTTCTAATGAATATAATTCGAGAGATTTTCTTTTCACTCTCGAACATTCCGCCCGCGATCAGCAAGGCCATTTGATGATTTTTCCTCTTTGTTAGGGATTGAAAGTATGACTAGTTTATGTATTGATCTTACCATAGTAGTCGAGGCTGTTTTTAATGTGACCACTCTTGTAAGCTTATCCTTGCCGGGGTGGATTTCTATTACTCGTGCGAGGGGCCATTTGCAAGGGGGGGGGGAGGGAAGCTTTCATCTGTGATTAGTACTAATGAACCTATTACAATATAATTCCTGGGTTGATGCCATTTAGAGATTGATTGCTGTCGTTGCAGATAATGAGCTGACCATTTTGACCAAAAATGCTGTACACGCTGCTGTATAAATTTCCACCGAGACAAACCTGATATTGATAATCCTTTTAAAAATGGTTCTGGAATGTTTGTTAGTGAGCTTCCAATGAGAAAATGTCCAAGTGTTAGGGCTGAAATACCTCCGGGTCGTCACTCATGGGTTCCAATGGCCTCGAGTTGAGGATTGCTTCAATTTGTGTAAGCAGGGTGTTAAGTTCTTCAAATGTCAGCAGGGAGTCTCGCATGGTCCGTCTCAAATGATATTTTACAGATTTTGTGACAGCTTCCCACTTGCCTCTCATATGAGGCGCCGCGGGTGGGTTAAATTGCCATTGAGTATTGTCTTGCGAGACCATCTTCTCTAACCGTTGATGTTCGGCGTTGCCTTTGGCAAATAATTTTTTAAGTTCTGCATCTGCTCTTATGAATATTGTACCACAGTCTGAATGCAATGTGTTGGCAATTCCTCGATGGGCTGTAAATCTTCTGTATGCTGATATGAAGCCATCGGCTGTGTAGTCGCTGACTATCTCGATGTGCACCGCAGATGTCGCAAAGCACACAAAAACGCAAATTCATGCTTTATGGGATTTTGCGCCTCGGCCCTTCCAAGCCTTTATGGTTATGGAGCCGGCATAATCAACTCCTGTACGTGTGAAAGATTTTGATGGTGTCACTCTTGTTATTGGAAGTTGTCCCATCAGCTGTTTGGCGCAGATTCCCCTTTGTCGTTTACATATAACGCATTGTAGTACATCTTTTTTTACAGGGAATCTTCCACCAAGAATCCAGTATCTTTGTCGTATGTATGCTAGCATGAATTGAGTACCTCCATGGAGGGTGCGTAAATATGCCTGTTCAATGACGAGATCTGTGAGTCGTGATTGGCGGCGAAGAATAACTGGATGTTTGTTTTCCAGTGTGAGTGCTGCTTCTTCGAGTCTTCCTCCTACTCTGATTACCCTTTGATGGTCGACGTATGCTGACAGTCAACTGAATGCTTGATTCTCTGTCTGTTTAGTCTTGAAGCAAAGACCTTTCAGTTCCTGAGGGAAATATGCGGATTGAGTAGCCATTGTCCAGAAGATTCTTGGCTTCTCCAGGGCTGTAGTATCCATGGTCGTCTCCTGATTTTTTTTCAATTGTGCGATGAAGATTTGACATAGTGCTGTTCTTCGCAATAATTTTGTGAGAACTGAAATTTTATGTATTAGGTCCCATTGATATTGTGGCTCAGGTGCGGTGGCTGTGAGTGCTGTGCTGGCACGTGCTTCTAAGTCGCATAGTTTTTCGTCCAATGCAGGCTGGTCTGGCCATGACTCGGGTGATTTTATCCAGGGTGGTCCTGTCCACCACAGTGGGTGTTCTTAAAGATGGGAGGCTGTTATGCTGCGTGATGCACAGTCTCCTGGGTTTGACTTACCTGGAACATATCTCCAGTGTGCACCTGAGGTGAGGTCTTGAATGCTGGAAACTCTATTTCTCACAAACTCCTTCCACCTAGCTGGATGGGTTTTTATGCAGGAGAGGGTTACTCTCGAGTCAATCCACATGTGTGTCGCCATCTTGCATCCATTTTCAGTTTGATTTGAACGTAGCGCATTAATTTTGATAGAAGTAGTGTCTTGACGTCGTCTGACCCGTGGACGGAGACGTATATCACTGCGGACATAGTTAGTTGTGATGCGTCGGAAAAACCATGTAATTCAATGGTGGAAGTCGTCTTTATATTGAGCCACCGTAATATTGATATTTCTGTCAAGTCAATGAGATCCTTTATAATTGTTGACCATTTTGATAAAAGCTGCGTTGGTAGCTTTTCGTCCCACTGAAGCTTTTGCAACTAGAGTTCTTGTATGAAAATCTTTGCCTTTATTACTAGGGGTGCAGCAAAGCCTAATGGATCAAATATCCGAGCCACTTCGGATAACACGAACGCTTGGTCAACTTGTCTACTTGTGTCGATGCCTTTCCGGTGGTAAAGGTAAATTTGTCTTCTTGAAGGCACCATGTCAGACCTAGTATTTTTGTGTGGTAATCATCGAACTGTATGGTGTTGTCATTCCGATCCGCATTGATTGCGGGTATTACATCTTGATGAGTTGCATGCCATTTTGCAAATGGGAAACCGCCCGCCTTGCAAAGGTCTCGCAGTTGAAGTGTCACTTCAACTAATTGCTCTGGCGTATCGGCACTTCCAAAGACGTCGTCGACATATCTTTCATGTGTGATGGATGGCACAGCAAGAGGATATTTGCTTCCTTCGTCTTTTACTAATTGAAGTAGTGTTCTAACGGCCAGAAATGGGGCGGCCTTCATTCCATAAGTGACTGTTGTCAAATGGTACGGCACTACAGCTCCCTTTTCGTCTATCCATAAGATTCTCTGCAGATCCCAGTTATCCTTGTGTATTTTTATCTGCCGATACATTTTTGTGATGTCGGTGGAGAACAGATGCTTTTGTCTTCTAATCCAAATTAAAACGTCTGATATGTCAGGATTCAAATTGGGTTCAGTATGCATAATATCATTTAGTGACAGGCCTGATGTCGTTTTGCTGGATCCATTGAATACCACTCTTAATTTGATCGTTTCGCTATCTGGTTTAAATACACCGTGATGTGGCAGATAATATTGAACCTCTTGATTTGAGGTTGGAGGCGCTCTTACCATGTGGCCAAGAACTATATATTCCTTCATGAATTGTTGATATGATTCACGATACTCCTGGTTTCTTGGAAATTTCCTTAATAGGGTTTGTAGGTAGCAGCTTGCTGTTTTGAATGAATAGCCAAGGCGATTGGTAGATGCACTATGAGGAATTCGCACTGTGTATACATCCCGGAGGTGTCATGGGAGTACGCATTATTGTATTGATTCTCGCATTGCTGTTCGTCTGGTGTATTATAGATGTCTAGTATATATATATATCTAGATATATAAATAGATCCATATAATATAGATTATATGGAGCATATAAGGCGAGACCTTCTTAGATTTAATGAATATAATTCGAGAGATTTCCTTTTCACTCTCGAACACATATCTATAAAGTAATTGTAAGCGATAAAATTTTTTATTTTACAGATATAAAAAACACATAACTATAAACACTTTCAAATTTTCAAAATATTAATGTTTTGGTATTAATTGATCTGAATGTATATATATATATTCTGCGTGCGCGCGTACAAACTACTAATTTAGAAACTAAAAAGGAATAAAATCATCAGTACCAACCATTTATTATTAAAGTAATATTGAAAGTAATTTCATTTAATCCACATAGAATTAAATTTCACTTTTTAAAAGTTAATTATAAAGTTATCTCCAACTATAATTAAGTGTAATTTGATACCTCAATAATAAGTTATTATTTTTTTATATTATGTTTGGCAACAACCATTATACAACACCTAACTTTAATCTACTGCAAGATACTGAAATATAATCACTAATTGAACTGTTTTTAGAAATAACACTTTTTGTTTGGAAAGTCAAGTAATATATATATTATATTATTGTTTATACTTTTAATTAGATATTATTTTTAATGAATGTTAACGTTAGCTATTTATTTATTTGTAATATTAAAACGTTGTAGTATAATATGTAAAAATAATTATAATATTTACGCATGTGTAAAATTTTTCATGAATTAATTATAGTATATTACTCTATTGAAGGATCCAAACATATCAGCACTATATACAAGAACACATAATCAGTTAAGAGTATTTTGGAATGCCTTAGCTTTTTAATATATTGGTAAGTCTCATCAAGTCTATCAGACACTGTTTAATATTCAATATTATATAAGCGAAATAGTTTCTATTTCATCTTTAATTAATACAATTTAGATATATATATCTATATATATATATATATATATATATATAATTAAGAATTCAAACAATGAATTGTAGTCATTAACCAACATACATTTCTTTTATTCCATTACTGTGGTCATTTTTAAATTTGAAAATATATTTACTAATGTTGCAACAAAATACATGAAAGTTCTTCATTCGTAATTGGTTCTAATTGCATTTAATAATGTTGCTACACTATAAATTTATTGTTTTATATATTAAGTTTTATTAAATTATTTAATTATTTTTGTTTTATTTTGCTAAAATAATTTTGTTAGATATATTCATAAACTAATCTTTTTATTTAATTTATTAAAATGAATTATAAATTATATAGTTTTAATCATTTTTCATAATTAAATTAACAATTATTAATATAGTAATGTTCTTAATTACATTTAATATCGATACCTATAATACTAAATACATTATAATTAAAAATATTAACTATAGCATAACAAATTATATCTATTCATCTTAATTTTCAACGCATTCATAGATAAAAATTATAGATATCCAGGTTCATTCTATTTTTAGAAAATATTAAAAATTGAAATTCATTGATAATCTTTTCCACAACAGGCCAACATAAAATTTCTTTATTTATATATATATTTATACATCCTAAAATCTAGTTATTGGCATCATAAAAGTATCGTTCTATCTGCTATGGGAAATATACATAAATATACAAAGCTTCTTTTAAATCATTTGTAAGATTACTGATTTTATAACATGTTTAAAATTGTAATTTGATAATAAAATAAAAATTACAATTATATAGAAGATAAATACAATGTAATAGATAGGATATAGAAGTTTATAACAAGCTTATTTTATTATCAAGTTAATCGTCACAACCCCTTCAGCAACATGAAATAGAGAAAATAATATATAAAGGACAAATATTAGCATCTTTAACCATAAATAAAGATGCATTTTTAAAAAATCATATCTTTAGTTAATGTTTGAAAAAATTATCAAAAATATTATTTTTTTTTTATCTTTTAAAATTTTATTTACTATATTATACGTATTTAATATAAGAAGTATTGTAAACTTTACATTACTAAATAAATATTATTATTAATTTGAGGATGCATATTCAAAAACTATCTACTTAAAAAATGTAATCAATAAAGTTAGTTTGTAATAAACAATAATGCATTGATTTAAAAACAATTTTTGAATAACAAAATCATTTATTACAAAATATTGAATTATAATTTAATCGATATTTACAATGTATATTTTAATGCAGATATTAAAATAAAGCATAAAATATGAAAATATAATTATTAATTTATACACGTAAAATAATATTTACATGTAATATATATTTATATTTGTTTAGAATTAGACAATGTCCACCAAAGTAGTAGTGGGGCAGAAGTGTGGATAAGTGGATGGGGTAATGCTTCAATTTAGTATTCAACACATCTGTTTTTCGTACTTGGTTATTGCGTTTATTTTATAACTACACTAACATGATTCTACTTTAACGATGAGAATCACTGAAATGTTACCGTTCCTTGGTTATTGCCACGTGGTGTTAGCATGCACTAATTGCAGAGGTAGGAGGTCGTAAATCTCCGAATCCTCTTGACGTGGTGCGTTTGGTGGTGAATTACTACACTGAGAAGTGAGAGGTCGTAAATCTTTAAACACGTCTTCGTCCAGTGCCACATTGTAACACCACACGTAACTTGATTGTTGGTCTCCTCCTTGATGTCTTGTGGTATGAATAAATGATTCGATCCCTTCACGCGGCGTTGAGTGGGGTCTGCTTGTACTGACTCGTGGAAGCGAACACTTGCTGATCTCTTCCTGCAACCGCTTCGTGCACTCTGGCACTATGCGTGAGGTTCCTTGTTGGGAGTGCGCTTTACCACTGTGTGTCAGGTTCCTTAACAGAGTGCGCTTTGGCACTGTGTATGAGGTTCCTTAACAGAGTGCGCTTTGACACTGTGTGTAAGGTTCGATGTTGAGTAGTTACACAAAAATAAACGCGTGCTCCGTCCTTGCGGCTCTGCTAACAGAGCGTGTTTCTAAGTCACTAGCTCATGGCTGAATAGCGCCTATCTCGTGGTGCGCTTACTTTAAATATCCACGCGGCAGCTTAGTTAGCTGACAACAATCGACGCAATTATGGTACTAGAAACAATAGATACGATTGTGCACTTGTTTTTTTCGGATGTCCAACGACGGTTGGAGATTTTCTCATAAATTATAACTGTTGGAAGTTTTCCCAGAAATTATAATATTTGGGGTTTTCCCATGAATTATAACATTCCAGAGATTCCCGGAATTTCGAACAACATTATATAATTAAAAATATGCAATAAAATACAAAATATTATATACTTTATTTAAAAGAAGTTAAAATTTAAAAAAATCAAAATTTTTTATATTTAATTATAACAATAACAGTATTTTAACTTCGTTACTATAATATTATTATAAAATATTATTATAGAATATTATAAATAGATAGTATAAGATAATAAGGTGTCGACATTAAATTTTAAGTTAGTTTTGAGTTGATAAAATACCTCTTTACTGTACTCGTTTTAAAAGTTAAAAACTTCTTTATTATTTTTTTATTCCTATCGTCATAGACAATTTATCATTTAATTTAATATTATTAAAATTAAAGAAAAATTAATAAAAAATTATTAATTTAGTAAATTTAATATTTTTAGTACGATTTTCAACAAATTCTAAAATTGATATAGATATATATATATTTATGTATATATATATATATATATATATATATATATATATATATATATATATATATATAAGACCGATTCTTATTCAACTTGATCATAATATTATCGAGTTTAAATATTAATTGTAATCAATAAAGTAAATGTAATTCATAAACTACCGATACACAAATAAGCAATAAGATTTGAAAACAAGGTTAAACAAGTATTTTTAATTAAAGTTAGAATGTAATCGAATAAATTAGTGTTATTCTTAGAATTATTATTATTTTATTAATTGTTAGAATTTATTAATTATCAATTCTTACATTATTTGATCGAAATTAATAATTATTAATTATTATCTTATTTGTTAGGAATAAATAATTACTAATTTATACATTATTTGTTCGAGATTATTAATTATTAATTATTATATAATTTGTTCGAAATTAATTATTAATTATTATTACAGATCTAAAAATTCAGGGCAAAAAAATGATTATAATCGCCACACTATGAATAGTATCAGATCTTTTTTAAGATATGTTTAATAAAAATCAAATAAAAATAAGTCTTACCATACTAAGTATTAATAATGTGCTAGTATAACTACTAATTCTTCATAATTTCTTACACCCAATATTTTTCATTTTCATGATTTAAATAATTAATTTTTTTAATAATTGAAATAAAAAATATATCGAATTTTTAAAAATATGTAAGATGTAACTAACTTAACATGAAAGAATATTTTTAAATATTTTTTATATATTTTAGGTACACGAACATTAAATTGTTCAGATATTGACTGTTTGACATGTCGCTCAAAAGGATTTTTTTATGGATTAGCACGTACTTCATCTATGTCTTTCAACTAATTATAAAAAACATTTTCAAGATATATTGAAATATTTCTACTTCGAATAATAAAAAAACAGTTAAAGATAAACTAAATACATACACACATACATACATAATTCGTCAAATATATAATTTAAATAATTTAAAGTCTAGTATTAATTCGTCACAACGATATTAACTTGTAACTATCAATATACATATCCAATTATTATAGAACTAAACTCATATTTAAATGTTTCATTAAAAATATTTTTATTGGTTAGTTCATATGTATATAATAATATTTAGTTTTAAAAATAATTATTTTAAAATATTTTATAATAGTATAATATTTATCATCTTCCTATTTTCAATGTTCAACAGTATATAAGAATTTTTTATTATATATTAATATTATATACTATATGCTATACATGTTTCTTTTGATTTATATTTATATTCTGCAATAAAATACTATGTTCATATTGTCCAATACTTTGGTTTCTTTCATATATCCATAACACGACTATAGAAAGAAATAACTCTTAGTGATGTTTTTCTTACGAAAACAATGTAAATATTATATCTTTGTTTTCACTTAAGCAGATCTGTTGTTTGGTATTATTTATTGTAACAGAATATTTTATGTATGATATTATTTGACTTATATTGTTAAAAAAATCTATGATAGTCTCAATATTTGTTTGATATCTGAATTAGTAAGATCAATATAAGCCCTTTTTTCTTTAAATTATCACTTGATTAATTTGCTTATAGTTACTTTTTAATTATGAAGAAAATAGAATAATATGTGAAAATAAATAATAGAATAAAATTCTTTGCATTACCTCAAGCAAGGTTGAAAATCTAGTTCAATTTATTAAATTAAAAGAATCTTAGATTAATTAAATATATAATTAACTTTTACAATTAGACTCCCGATTGATGTATCTAACTTTCTTTTAAATACTAAACAAGAATGTTATAAAATATTTCAAAAATTTTGTAAATTCATATCTGTTTTTTTTATTGATCATTTGAAGTTATTAAAAATAAAATTGTATGAAATTTGTATTATATTGATTTAAAATAATCTAATAAAAATATCTTATACTTTTACAGCTAATATTTTCTACTATTTATATTGTACTTAGTATTTGTATTTGATAGTAAAATTAATTTAGAAGTTTAATATAACATTTTTTACAGCATATCATATTTACTATTTTTAACTAAATTGCTTATTAATATTCATAAAAGAAAATTAATTTGAGAAGAAAAAAACTAAGTAAATAAATATTTAAAAATTAATATGACTGTA